ATATAATTCTTCTCCATTCTTTTTAAAAAGGAAATATTCCAGTACTGATAAAGTTCATAATGACTTTTTAAAGTTTATATTTACAAGCAGTTAATATGATTGTGTCACATATGCTAGTGCTAGTTTTGATATTATCAACATTGACTAAGGCTAAGTATGCACATATATAATATGCTTCATAGGAGAGAAGCCTGAGTTTGTACACAGTCTTCCGAGGAGTAGTACTCTGCATTTGTCTATGTATCCTGTCAGCGTCCACATTCCAAGATTTGCCAGAATCCTATGATTGTGTTTTCGAATCCCGGTTCGCCCCGATTATGTTTCTAGGTTTGTCAGCACCATACCCGTGCTCGTGGGTTTCACCGAAGTTGTAAACGTCTAAGATCTGCATTACTTCGGGCTTTCCTCCCACATTAAGCTGACACGCCGTTGTATAACTGGAATACTGTTATAAGCGGCGTTAAACCTAACTCACTCACTCACCATGACTCCTGGTCGCTAAAGTAGCCATGGATGTTATCAAGTGAAGTAGCAGCTCAGGTCAGGTGACAGCAAGGTCACACAGGTAGATTTAATCATCTTGGATGCGCCCAGATGAATGAGAGCCTTGAGGAACACTGGCTGTCTGGATACGTTCAGGGGCATCCGAAAGGTCAAACGTGAGTATATTGTACAACGTTTATTTGTAGCCTTTTCCCTACTATTTGCAGCGACAAAACATGACGGCAAATATTCTCTATGCTTTGTTCTAATATGTAAGAATACTGGTGCAAGTGTCGCTATCCGCGCAAGTGAATGTGAAGAGTTGCGTTTCGCAGTCGTACCTGAATACGATTGTCTGGTTAGAATCACAGACATTTGGTTAGTCAGAATGATACCCCTGGGTTTCTCCAGAGTAGGTAACGTTTGGGATATGCATTGCTTTGTGGTCTGCTCAGAGTAGACGGGTGAATATTAAGCAGCTGAATTGTGGGATTCGGTACAGACAAAGGATAAAGGAAACTGCCGAACATTTTCACAACGTCTGGACCTCAGAACCTGAAAATTCCTTTTCCTTGAACCTATTCTGGTCAGAATATAACGGCTAAGTCTCTCAATGCCATACGCCTGTTATCAAATATAATCAAGCTTGCGCCATCAGAACATGACCTTAAGCAACTGCAGTTATGCCTCGCCCATGCCATTATGTCAACAAGAACAGCTCTGTGGCCATGGTATTTGAAAACAAACATAACAGAACGTGTTTTAATTCCATCATGGCGCATAACATCTGGGAGTTTTTCCTCGCAGTCAGTAACAGTCCAGACTAAACATTGAACAAGCCCGATCCTAATGACTTGCCCTTTATGACAAGCATGGGTACTGGGACCTATCCTAGACCGGAATCTCAATGGGGTTACCTCAGGATACCATCACATTGTTATACCAAAGACAAGGTCATGTTTAAAAGAAAATAATGTCGAATGTTTTTAAGGCAAATATAACTTAGTTCTATGCTTTTACAAATATATTGATAGTTATTATTCAATTCAACTGCTTCTGCTTTACATGGTAATAACTTGGATAGGTGAAACATTCAGGAATGTACATTCACAGAATATTGCCCTGGTGTTGCGACACACGCTTAATATAATGTAAATTTGCGCACAGAATCATATAACAGTAGTCCTCGCTCTATTCAACTTCTACAAATGCAGCATTTACAGAAAATAACACCGATGTTTGACAGACAATTTTGGTATCTGGTGTCAACACAATGACCTTTTTCCACAGGGATATGTTACGATTGAATGAATGAGTTTAGCTTAACGTCATTTAACAGTTATGTCAAGTCAGGTTGGTGAGCGATTAAAGCCAACAGTGATATAATATTTAGAAACCCACTGTAACGGGTATGATGGTGACCATCCTAGAAGCACAATCAGGGCGATCAAGGATTCGAACCCACGATTGATGCTGTGGTTTCCCACATGTAGCACACATCAGAGTGGCCTGAACATAACCAGCGTAACCTCAACACAAACGTGAAGCACAGAAGAAAATGTCAGTAGTTGATTGTACAGGGAATGGTAGGAAACCTCATTACCATTTGAAATAGACGACTGTTTGAGGATTGCGATACTTTCCCCAAAGCCATTACCTAGCTGAACGAGTGAATTAGGCATTGTAATGTAATGTACAGTATTTTTTTCACGCTTCCTGTTCTCTCACTGTTACCCATTTGGAACGTATCCGTTTGGTACAAACGAAAGGTGGATACCGTATTCGACGTAATAAGCGCCCCGCTCTAATAAGCGCCCACGGCGATATTTGCTAATATATTGGCATGTGAACAATCCCAATTAGTACCCCTTCCGATTGATCAATGTAAACAAGACTTATTCATTCGCGTATAATACGCACTGTGTATATGCACCATTAATTATGGGCAATTAAATTCTGGAAAAAAATATATCTGCCGTGCATACTAGTATACATTTCAGGCTGTAAGCATAAACCACGAAATTTATCTTTCAACTCTTTTTTTTTTCACCAAAATAATATTTTAATAAGAGCACCCTATTTCTAATTTTGAGAGCGCCCTGGGCGCTTATTACGTCGAATACGGTATATGAAGTGGACATCATTGTTGTGTAAAGGTTGTGGAGGCTAATGAACCGACAACTCAAGATGATTGACAAGGAACCAACTTTCACGAGCATCCATGGCACATATGAGTGAGTTGTCTGCACAATGACATAAAATACATGTATGTATTCATAATAGATGTATTACGAAATTTCCCGTCTAGTCCCAACTAAAGTGCAATTCATTTTTTTAAATACATCATTACCATCCTTTTTTAAAAGACCATGGTGTAAGCTATTGTTTTGCTTGAAAACGCTTGTCGTTGTAATACAACAGCATTGTGCTGAATATTATTTTTGCTCATATCCTGTTGAGGCAGTACCACTATGGGGAGTATCAATTTACCCAGGCCGCTGATTAGTCTATCAGAAACTACGGTTGGTAATGGTTGGGCTATATTGACCAGAAGCTTCGGTATCGCGTGTGTCAATATAACGTACAAATTCAAAGCCGGCCAGTGACCAGAACACGTGATGTATTGACGTTGACATCAAGACTACGGTCTTTTACAATTAAAATATATTATTTTAAGAATAGTTCTTACATACGATTTTATCGTAGTGATAAACTGTTGGAATTAAACAGGATGAAATGGACAAGAGAGGTTGATAGCCTTTTGTGATTAATAGCAGGGAATAGTAGGTTGTAAACGGATAATATTGACTGCGAACATTGCACAGCCCACGGAGTGCTAATTTTCCGGTACCACGCCGTATTCATCTGTGTGGGCAGACCGTCGTGACATTAATGCAAACAGTGTCTGTGTTGTGTCTGATAACGATCGCATTGCATTGTTGCCACGCATGTTTTGCAAAAATACAACTTATACCATCGGTAGTATGCATTGTTATATCGCATGTACAATGTTGCAAAATATATTAGGAGGCAATTTATTTGAGGATTTATGTCAAATATGTCATATGTGACATGAATGAGTATATATATAACGACAGAGATTATCTCTCTCTCTCTCTCTCTCTCTCTCTCTCTCTCTGTGTGTGTGTGTGTGTGTGTGTGTGTGTCTCGCTTCCTCCTCTCTCTCTCTCTCTCTGCATATAGGTATATAATTATACATGTCTATATTGAGAGGTAGAGCGAGAGAGAAATCGAGAGTTGGAGAGAGAGAGTGAAAGAGAGAGAGAGAAAACCACAAATCTGAAGCGACATCACGACTGTTATATATAATAACATCAAACATTAGTAGGTACGTGAATGATGCATCGTCTGTGTACATATATAAAACGGCTTCTAAATAAGCGGGCATGGGAGTGCCAGACCAGTGGTTGATGGAATGAACATGTATCCGCGCTGTTGGGATAGTGTGACACGTGCGTAACCATGATTCTCATAAGTTGGCTCTTACGACTAGAATGGACTACATATTCTACTCCGGGCTCTAAAACATGTTCAACGTAAAACAATGGTAAACAATAGTTATCACTGTTTGGGTTCGATAGGTTGATTTAATGTTGGAGCTTTAACATCCTGGTGGACAGGGGTAGGTGTGGTCCAGTCGCCTGAGGCACCTGATCTGGAGCTCAGGCGTAGGGCCGTAATAAATTTGAGTAGATAAGGGATGTATGCGTTTCACGTTATCACCCCCTCTTCCGGTTGATAATAAGGCACATGAGTGGAATATTGGGCTAAGGTGGCAACAGTCGCATGTCTCCCAATACTCCCAGGTACGCTGGTTGTGGGTTCACATTTAGAATAAACCCGATAACAATCCAGATTCCTATAACCGTGGCACCGAATCCCAGATTTGCCAGTTATCATGTCAGTGTCACACCCATGCTCTGGTGATCTACCAAAGTAAACGTCAAAGTGACCTACGTTACATTTCACACGTGTAAAATACTGTTTTAACCCGTTACAAGTTGTTCTGTCAGTTCAGTGTATACTATATTGTAGGCAAATAACAGAGAAGGTAAAGAAGTTCTCGAATACAAAGCTAAAGTAACCTTGTTTGATCCAGGAAAAAACGTATATGTCATTGGGCCGTAAATCTTTGAGATGATTCTTTTTCATTTCTACATAGGTTGCACAGCGAATTAGATATGATATTGCAGTCCCTGCTAATTTATTATTAACACAAATTGGCATTAACTAAGTCGTGACAATCTTTCGCCTTCAGAGAAACGTCTGTGATTATAATTTGTACTGAAAAGTCGCACTGTCCTCCCTTTTAATTCAATTTCCTGTTTTGAACAGCGAGACTCTAGCCTAAGCATGAACACCTCTAGGAGGCCAATACGCCAAGCGCCGTGTGTCCATATTGTCAATCGATATCTCCAAACCCACATGCGATCAGCCTAAACACTCGACTTCCCATGTTGGCGGTATACTACAACAAAACCCGTCCTGTGATCGATTTCTTGCAGTATACACCTGATAAGTAAAATGAGAGGGGGATGTCCCCGAACCGTCCCTCCCAAGCTGGTATGACTGTACTGGGTGACTTTGCGTTACCATAGATACTGCCATAGCAGTAGGAGTCGCAGAGAGTTGCTCAGTGCCATCTACAGGCTGTTTGCAATGAAAGATTCATCACTCGGATGGCGATGCACATATAGTCCTTGTCATGACAATGCTCATGTCATTTAACATTACAGCGTGCATTAAAGTCATTGCAATGCTGGGGACGACGTAGAATACGACACATCTACTCAGGCCAACTTCAGCAGCTTGGAGAATACCAGCAGCTGGTAAACACGATGATGCCACATCCAACAGGTGAGTGTCTTTGAAGGACATTGTATTTTTTTTATGAATCAATTCTTGACATTCACAAAATATTGTTTCGTGTGCATACCCTGCGGTATAGTCAACGTATGATATGTTTGAAATCCCCGGGGAATACCACTCTCATTAACGGTCACTATAAAAACACGGTCAGTGACAATGATTTATACTATGCTCGGCTTTTCCCTGAGAGAGATATTTCATCCCAATCGCTGGCAAGTAGAACCAAGTGCCACTGGGTTGACTGGCAACATCATATTTCGTGTTCTGCATGATACCATATGGCTATTCGTTGATATATTATCTGATTAGCATCAGGAGGAATAATGATGATTCAAGAACCAGTTTGTGTATTAGTGGGAGGCATTGCTTTTATTGCATTCTTCATGAACGATGTCTGTGTGTATAGTCCTTTTCAGATTGATATATTTGTGTTTACATTTCAAGAAACAGTTAGGCAATTAAGGTGAACTCAAAGTCGAAAATGAAATCAATATTTCAGCTAATCAGTTAAAATATGGAAATTCCCTCGTCATGAGACGGTTCATAATTTATTTAAATACAGTCGTACATACCTTGGCACAGTTTTAAGCGGCTACAAGCTAGAAATAGTTTCTTTCAAATATTTCGAAACTGTTTTATCTGTTCTAAAAGTGGCTGTTCACGTGCGTTACCTTACAGAAAAAATGTTAACAATGCCACCAGCTTCATTGATATAACCAACTGACTGAATGTAAAATACTCGTATGTTTGAATCCTCAGAAGACGACTTTCTTCTGATGAAATTTATATACCAAGAAGTCTCAAATAATTGTTCCATTCGACTTAAAATATATCAAAACTATCCACATGCATGTTGTGGTTTGCCTAAAGGTGACATGATCTTAGGAAGTCTTCACCTTTACTCATCAATGAAAGGGACCAGGACTCTGAAGCACGCAAAAATAGTGTCGGGGGAATGGAAGCTGGTGTGATCTAGTCAATCTTTGCGTTTCTTTCATCAGTGTCAAGCCTTATCCCAAGCGTTAAGGAAGACTAGGAGTCTGCTCTAAGCGTCCTTTCAGAAATGTATTTCTCGTCACGACAATGTTGCTCTGCTCAAGAATATTTCCCATTTATAAGAAAAGCATAACATCTTCATATTTGTCGCAAATACCCTTTTTTCCAACAAAAATGTATTTCACGTGGCTGTTTTAACCCATTTTTCAGTCATGTATAATTTAATTTTGCCTCGTGCTCTCTCGGCGGTATGGGTGCAAAATCGTTAGTTAGAGAATTGGAAACCTCTATATTACAACTATGATATCTGGGAATGAACACTACTGCTAGCGTAATTTTCTCTTAGCATCTGGGGATGAACAAGGTTTGTGTGAAAGCTGAAAGTTGGCGTAGTGTTAAACCTCGATAAGTTCGAGGATTGGTCTCGTTGATCTAATTTCCTCTAGTATCAGATGTAGCTTACAAAATAAGACAGCGTTACAATGTGACGATCACCGGTACCTATATTAGCGTAAGGGAGATTATGACTAATTTGACTGTCAATGTTATTTGTAGTCCAGTGGTGACAGTTTTGAAGGAACCCACGGTATACCCACACGTATCTCCCCTCTATTGGCGGATCGAGGTGGTCGGGTAGCCTAGTGATTAAAGCGTTCGCTCGTCACCCCGAAGACTCGGGTTTGATTCCCGACATGGGTACAATGTGTGAAGCCCATTTTTGGTGTCCCCCGCCGTGATATTGCGGCAATATTGCTAAAAGAGGCGTAACATCATACTCACTCACTCACTATTGGTGGATCAGATATGTATCACTGATACATTTCTTATGCAATTCAATAATACTTGCTGTTCCTCATCACCGTCCGATCCATTATACAGGCCAGATCCTTATTGTGAAAAAATAATAGCTCATTCACTTTCGATTTCAATTTAATTGAAGTACATCAAATTACTAAATTAGATTTATTTTTAAACCTGCATGCCACGTTTCGCTGTGTCGTCTGTGGTGGTGCAGATTAGACTTTGTATTTAAGGAATCGAAATTAATTTGATCTTCGGTCTCGATTTTATAATGTTGCCCTAATTAGAAATAGAAATGTGATCGCTGTATTTTCACACTACTTAATAATCCTCCAGTGTGTTATGTGACAGCTTCGGTTTCGTGAAGAGCGTAATATGCAGAACACTGGTGGAGAAAAGGCCACATGAAGCCTTGAATTTCATGTGATCACGACAGATACATTTTTGTCAAGTGCAATAGGCCACTGTTATTATGAATGGCGCATTCAAATCTAATTTCATGATTCACTGATCATGAAGATGGAGTAATGTCAAGATGGAGCGAGGGATATTTCTTTGAATACATTCAGTGACTGGAATTATACCATTGGGGAGACAATGCATTGCTTTCTCAGCGCTCCACACACAGCAGCAACGTTTTAATGATTCATAATTGGAAATATTACTTTCCGTGTTATAAGCATTGACGTTTACAATTACCGAACAACTGTACACCTGGTATGCGTCTTTTTATTCGTCATGTCTGTTGAGTTCGTTTGAAGTTTGTACAAAAACAGGATGAAGTAGTGAGAGAACATCATCATCTTTTGCTACTTTATGCCATGTTTAGTCAGTAATATGGGTAATCCGCAACTTCTGATGTGGCCTTGGTAACGTTAAACTTTGAAGGATTGTGTTATTGCATGGTCGATGCATCTATGTGTGTAACATCGTGCGAAATAATGACAGATAAAGGTTAAAACTGTACTTCAAGAAGCCCTTGATTTCAATGCAAGCATCAAGTTGAAACCATATCTGCGTAGGGTCTATAATCAAATGACACGTTCAATGCAATCATAAAATCGTTGTTCCAGTGCTTTAGCATTAGCGATGTCTCACGCAAACTTTCTTGAATATAAACTGTCTTGCGTCGTTCGCCTTCGATGATAGTCATTCATGAGAGTTAAAGTCTATGTAAGCTAGGAAACTGTATGCATTATTTTGAATAAACTCCTAGCAGATCGTACATCGTCATAAATAATGTAAAAGCTGAGTGTTAAGAGATCTGGTACCGCGTTTGCAATTTATCATGGTTATACATGTTTGAGTTCGAGGTTATTTTCATGTCCAGTTATGTCATAACCTTCCCTAAAATGCTGGTGCATCAAGACATAGTAATGGATATAAGCTGAGATTCGAACCAACAGAAGCTGACGCGTACACTGAGCCACCCGTACCACGTCACAAGCGGTCTTATCATCCATACTGAACTATGCAGAGTTGCCTCGCGTAGCCACATCATTATCCACTAGTCGTGGGTTCGAATCCCAGATTTCCCCTATAATGATTCATGGATGATCAGAACCATATCCATGCTCGACCATGTCCCCGAAGTTGTAAACGTGTGACACAATCATTACCTTCTTCCACCTTACACTGACATGTACTGGTAGGTATTGTACAAAGTGGCGGTACTCACTCGTGTTTTCTGCTGTGCTTTATTGGAAACACTGATCTGTGACCTCGGGTCCTCTACCAACACCAAACACTATTTAACAAAGGTTCTTGAAAACATATTGATGATCCTAAACATTAAGCAATTGCTTTAACTACCACGGGGTTCGACTTTCGACTAACAATAAGTCCTAGAAATAAAGTTTTCTCATTTACAAATAATTTTCTACAAAAAGAAAAGTCAAATCCAAATGGAGCCCAGAACAATGTTTAATTTCAGCTCCCAAATCAATCCAGACTCGAGTAAGATTTATTTTTCAAATTATTCTCTAGGGTCTGTGAGGCAGACTGTATTGAATATACGTGGTTCTTCTTTGGAATGTGACATGCTGCATGTTGCATGTTGCTTTTGGGTTTTAGAGTAGAGTCAGGTTGATATTGAATATCGCTCTGGCTTGCATTTCAATGTAAATCACAACCTGGCATTCAGAGCAATCATTAGGGGAATACTGTGCGTGTTGAAGAGAACAGAAATGTGTGAAATGTGCCACTATCGATGAGCTCTCAAACCCAAAACAGGGAATGGGATAAAGTGGAAAGGCATGAAGTAAACGACACAGTAAACGAAAAATGAAAAGAAAACACCATTACGTGGAAAGCATTCAACAACAGCTTCAGCAAAGTCAGCTATTCCCAAAGATCACAAGGTAATATGCCATAATGAATCGTGCCTAACTGTACCATTTTATCATATGATGACTGCTGATTAACAACATTGTACACAAAACACTGTCTTCCAAATACACGACTCTGTAGTATGCAACGATATAATTATATGCACTGCAGCAAATGTAAGGCACCACAACATAAATAGTTGTCATGAATTGTCTCCATACCTTTAACTCAGGATAGTCTTATGTTATCACGACGTGTTGTGTTTAATCAAATTAGCGTTCTGTTACCTTCAAGATTGCTGCATAAGAGGCTGTCGGATTAGTAAAGCACTTCGTGGTGCTGATGGAGAGACAGCGAGGAAGTCTCGTGTGTTATTAAGTTATATGGTGTATTGGTCATACGTCGGCTGTCTTGAGATCAAAACCATACATCATGGCAAATAGCAAACTGATCGAATCAGACTTTCTAAGTCAAGGTTGTTAACTGGTGATGTATTGCATTTGGATGAAGTGCACCACAAGTGACAAGAACAACATCCACTTTCACAGTTGTTAGAGTGTGTGCCATGGTGTGATCTTGTGACTGTAGACTAAATCTCGTGATTCTCCTTGGAGTTTGTAACGACTAAAAATGTCACGACATTATTTCTCTACGAAGCATTAAATCAAGACTTTACATCTCTACCACCATCAAGACATTATGTTCCTACGACAAAAGATGTCGAGAAAGTATATATTTCTATGAGTAAATGGTATCAACACATTATCTCCCTACGATCGTAGATATTAAGACATATCTCCACGGCCATCATATCTCAAGACATTATCAATCGACGACCAAAGATTACAAGAAATTATATTTTT